TGGAATCCACCCATCTCATGAATGCTAGAATACCCCTGATTAGGGCTCGAGTCACTCCTCCAGGAAGTCTTACCTGAACCCCGCCCTGAACCTCTCATGCAGAATGGCGCAACTGCTCCCACAACACTTGGTCTGTAGGTAGAAAGTTTTCAGTATCTCCTAACTCTAATAATAGTTCACATGCTCTGCCTCACCTGATCCTCATACAACCCCTGTAAGGGTCATACTATCTCTCCCCTAAGTTAAAATAACTATGGTAAAATACACGTAACAATCGTAGCCTAGATTTTGGTTTGGGGCTAAGTGTGCAATTCAGTGGTACTAAGTGCCTTCACATTATTGTGCTACCCTCACCACCATCCTTCCACAGGACTTCTTACACCTGGCGAAACCAAAACTCTACTAGTTAACAGCAATCCCCCCTTTCTCCCTCCCTCCAGCTTCTGGCAACCACCATTCATTACTATAATTTTGATGAATCCCATACCTTGTGTAAGTAAATCATACAGGCACTGCCCTTTTGTGTCTGGCTGATTTCGCTTAGCATAATTTCCTCAAGGTTTATCTGTGTTGTAGCTGGGATCAGAATTTCCTTCCTTTTTAAGGCAGAATAATATTCCTTTTTACACACACACACACACACACACACACACACACACACACACATTTTGTTTATCCATTCATCTGTTGACAGAAAGTTAGGTAACTGATCTCCCTTCCAGATCCTGCTTTCAATTCTTGTATAAACCCAGAAATGGGATTGCTGGATCACATGGCAGTTCATTTTAACTTTTTGAGAAACTGCCAAACTGTTTTCCATACCATCTATTCCATTGTACAGTTCTACCAACACAGCACAAGAGTTCCAATTTCTCCACATCCCTTCCAATACTTGTCTTGCTTTTTATTGTAATTTCTTTTATAATAATCATCCTAATGAGTATGAAGTGGAATAGGGGGATCCAATTCTTATTCCTACTTGACATCTCAGCAAAGTAGGGCTGGAGATATCCCTTGATTTGCTTAAGGTTGCACAGGCAGCATGCAGTAGAGCTGGGACTCAAACTCAGGGCTGTCTGTGTTTGGTGCTCCCAGTAATCCCCATCTCCAAAACTCCCTGCTGCCCACCTAGTCAGTGACGGCCCTGGGGCCTTCAACATCCCCTGAGTTCCATCCAGGACCTGGCCAGGAAGGAGACAGTGACACAAGGAGACCTCACACACACACTCTAATTGTGCAAGACCAGATTCTGAAACCCCCAGAACCAGGTGACCCTGAAACTAGCATTTCAATAGAAAAAACTTACCCTGTGAGGCCCACTGAGCTGATTGACTTTGCCTAGGAGGTCTCTCTGGCCAGCCTGGAGGGAGCCGGGCTCCAGATGGATCACTAATTCTCAAATCCTGTGGGGCCAGGACATGGAGCAGCTGGAGCAGGGAGAGGGCCATGGGGAAGGTCCAGAAGGTGACCCAAGCAAGATAGCTAGGCAGGAACCCAGGTGCATCCCTGGCGTTGCTGCATCTCACCCGTGTGACCATGGGCAACCTCGTTTTCCCTATGCCTTAGTTTTTTCATCAAGTCAAAACTTGCAGGGAGCCATGTGCATTAAATGGGCACCAAATGATGAGCAGTATCAAATAGTGCTGGCTACCACAGCCTCCTCCTGTGCCCATGCATCTCTCTGCTCACTTGTCCTTCATCTGAACCAAATATATCCCATCTCTAGCTCACCTTTATGCCACACTCCCATGCCCCTCACTATTGCAGGGCTGGCAGAGCTTTAAAGAGTACAGGTTCCCAGGGGTCCTTTGAGGAATAACACACTGGAATGTATTAGTTCTGGTCTACTTCTTAGAAAAACAAATAAGCGGGCCTCCCTGGTGGCGCAAGGGGTTATGATGTAACCTATGAAGCTACCTGCAGTCACTGCAGCATGAGTTCGATCCCTGGCCAGGGAGCTAACCACATGGTGCAGCAGACCTCTCCTGTCTTGCCTGCTGCTCCCCTCAGCAGTGTATTTCAGTCAGTCTGCCTATTCTGTTTCCCACTCTCTCTCATGAATCCTCTCACCCCCCTGCACCTCTGGCCTGTACCCCAGTTCTTGTATGCATAAATAATCTTTAAAAAAAAAAAAAAAGAAAAAGAAAGTAGAACAGTGGCTGCCAGGGTAAGGAAGGGGAATGATCATTTAATGGGCAGTTTGCTTCACAAGTTGAAAAGTTTTGGAGATCTGCTTTACACACAATAACGTAAATAAACTTACTACTTAAAAATGGTTTAAAAAAATGCTTACAAAGAAATTTTAATAATCTGAAAAAGTAGAAATTCCAAAGTGCCTGCTCTTGGGAAAGAGGGAAGGGCTGGTGTCGTAGGACGGGAGAGTCCAAGAGACATGGGCTATAAGCACAGAAGTGGTGGCCTGCATGTGGTGGGAGACCTGGGTCAGACTGTGGACGTTTTCGTGCTGTGACAGGCTATAGGCATTTCAGAGCAGGGTCCCAAATTTCAGAACAGCTGCCAAGCAAGTTCGCCTCTCTTTGGTCCTTCAATCTCAATCACCTTGACCTGAACCTTGCTAACAGTTGTCCTAGGCCAGCTCATACATCTTTCACCACCCTACAAGGCACAGGAGGAAAGGTTTGGCTGGTTCTCCAGGGGTAAACACAGTGGGCCCTTCCTGGCTGGGATGCATAGCCAGAACTCTGCCGACAGCCCCTGGGGAAGAAGGTTCCCAGGCCTATTGCAGCTTAGTTCCCAGAGCACAGACCTCCCCAAGAATGAGGAAAGGCCCTCATGCACTAGTGTGCAAGACAGTTGGAGCCCATAACTCCCCTGGGATTGTCACAGGCCTGGAAGCCACAATTTTCTTTAATCCGTGGATTCTCTTGGGGTCAAAGGAAAAAACTATTTCAAACAAGATGCCTCTTCCTCCCAAGGCTGGGTCAACAATGGCCAATGGATAGTATTGCCAAGAGTTGTGACGGAGGTGGCACTGTGGCCTCTAGACTTTCCCAGAAGGAAAATCTGTCTTGAACCCTCTTCTGAGCTAGGAGACCCACCTACTCCAGTGATAGAAAAACAAGGAACCTCACGCCCAGGGCCCCAACTCCCAGGCAAAAGTTCCCTATACTGAGTCTATCTAGAGAATCCTACTCTCTGAATTTATTTGGGTACCATCAAAGTACCCCCACTCCCCCAGTTTGTCTTTTATGGTTCTTTCCAAATGCACTGCATACCCTTGACCTTCCACAGTGTAGGCCACTAAAGGCCAGCTGCTTTAATGTTATCTCATGTTGCTCTATAGCACGGACATTTACATTCTACAGATGAGGAATTTCATGTTCAGGGAGAGCCACAGACTGCCCACAGTCGGGAACTGATACTACCTGAATTGAGTATTGTAACCCAGCCAGACCAGCTTGTGGACATTGTGCTGCACGCGGTCTCCCATTACCCCACGGGGCAGAGAATGAAAGTTGTGCCCAAACTTGTGGGGATTTCTCCATTCTTTCTAGAGATTCCGTATACCTGCACTTTGAGGAAAGCAGCTGACATGGGAAGGGTAGCACTCAGATTGACAGCAGTGGGAAGTCAGCAGTCTAGCCCCTGATGTCCAGTCCTAAGCCTTTAGCACAGACAGGAGCCTAAATGAATAAATCCTTTAACAGGAAATGACGTCTTTCACTCTAGTTAGTACAGTGAGTAGGGGGTCAAGATGCTCCTGAGATGTCCAGTTATAAAGTGGCCCAGGGAAAGTCCAGGCTCATAAGAGCCCTCTAGGGGTACTGATTAAGTGCCAGACCTTGTGTTAAGTGCTTTACAAGACCTGTACCCCTAAGCTTTATAACCTCTATTTTATTTGAGAACAAATTCAAATACAATTAAGTTATTAGGTTGAAAGTTAGGCAGCTGTGCATACAAACCCAGGCTAGTCCACCTTCAAAGGTCAAGTCATAACCACTCCACATTAGACTGCCTCCATCTCACTATCTGAAAAACCCCCAGAGAAAAGACATCCCCATCTACCCCCTCAGGTCATCATAGTCCTATTAGCAAGTTATTATCAATAATTTCTTGTGAGTTAACTGACCCATGCATAATGTGACTTGAGCTACAAAAATGTTGTTAGCAAGTTAGTATCAGCAGGAGAGGTCTGCTGTGCCATGTGGGACCCTCGCCGGCGGCTAGGGATTGAACCGGCCCTGCACAGCCTGCGGGGAGCTTCGCAGCCCAGCGCTCAACCGCTGTGCCACCAGGGGAGGCCCCATAAGTTGAATTTTTAATTGCAAAACACTTGGACTCAATCCAACCTCACAATCAGGTAACAAAGGCTGCACATCCTGGGATGGGTTTGTTAATGTGGTATATACCACACAGACCTTGAGCTATCAAGCTATCGCCAGCCACGGCAGCATGAGTTTGCTCCCCGGCCAGGGAGCCGACCCACATGGCGCAGCAGACCTTTCCTGTCTCACCCAATGCTCCCTCAGCAGTGTATTTCAGTAGATCTGCCTGTTCTGCTCCTCACTCTGTCTCTGGTGAATCCTCTCATCCCACCCATTCCCACCTTGGTCTAGATCTCAGTTCTTATATGCCTAAATAAATCTTTAAAAAAAGAATTTTAAGTCAATTTTTGATAAGAAAATTCATGCACATAATACATTAAATTCTAAGAATCCAAAGTAATATATGGTGGGGCAGCCGCCAGGACCCCATGACAACAATTTAAGAACGCAGATTCGGCAATTTGCAATATTTGGAAGGGAACACAGAGAGAAGCACTTGCTTTATGGTAGTTTAGAGGTGCTGCTTTCCTGCAAGGCTAAGAACAAAGGTTTAGAAATGAAAGCCAGAGTAAGGAATTCACATAATTTCTCTGAATCACAGTTCAGAGGTTCTTAGTTGGGACTCTTCATCTTACTCAAATCCCTCTTGCTGTGATCTGTGAAGGAAAAAGCTAAAATGAGGTAAAACCAGGCAAAGAAAACCCACTGTTTTACCTGTTAACAAACTAGGATGAGGTCTTCTTGGGCTTTGCTGGCAGCTTTAAGGGACCTTAAGGCCTGAGGCAGGTGCCTAGATGCTGGGGGCAACGCCAGGTAGGAGTTGCGGCTCACCCCAGTACACAATCCAGGCTTCCAGACGGATAGGAATCCAGGGTGGGGAAAGCAGGCTACTGCAACTCCAACTCAGCAACTGGAGCCAGTAAGGGCGGGGCAGTAAGGCCACGTGTCCTTGGCCTGCCTGGAGTACAAAGGAGGGGGCCATAAGCCCAGAGGATCAGCTAAGAACCCTGACACCAAGCAAATCAATGGGAGTTTTTAGAACCCAAATCTTTTTCTTTTAAAGATTTATTTATTTATTTATACAAGCACTGGGTACAGTCAGAAGCCTGGGAGGGTGAAAGAATTCACCAGAGCCAGAGTAGGGAACAGAACAGGCAGACTGACAAAATACACTGCTGAGGGGAGCAGCGGGCGAGGCAGGAGAGGTCTGTCGCGCCATGTGGGACGCTTGCCAGAGGTCGGGGATCAAACTAGCGCTGCAGAGGATGCGGGCAGGCTCGCAGCCCAGCACTCAACCACTGCGCCACCAGGGGAGGCCCTAGAACCCAAATCTTAACTCCCAGGCAATCTGGACTGTTGTGAGGTTACTCTGGATTCTGTAGAAAAGATTTACTCTAATAAAATTCTCTTACAAAAGCTTATACAACTGAGTTATGTGGTAGTTACCGGAGTGTACATGAGTATGTAGGGGGAAGGATACTGGAGAAAAGACCTTTGATAAGTATTATTGAGGACTGACCGATTATCCAGAATAAAGACGAAGACAAAAGCTCAGAGAGACAAAATATCTAATAAACTTCAGGGCTTTCCCCAGGGCTATCCTTAGTGTAACAACAGGCCAGACACAGCAGTTGTAGGAATTCCTGGGAACAGAAATCCTTCACCCTTAGCCCTGTCTTGAAGGACAAGGGCATTCTCCCTTTGCCTAAGCAGAGTGCTACGGATGCCTCTGCCCAGCAGGGCATCACAGGGGAAGTGTCCTCCCTCCCTACTTTTCACATCTAATTATCCAAAATAGTCTACACTGTTTTCCTGAATATGAGCACAGGATAGTTTAAGGGTTCCCTTGTTAATTTCCAGGATTCCACAGCAACTTGTTTGGGAAACACTGGCCTAGATGATATCGTGTCTTACTCTGAATGTCTATGCCTAGTACAAGGAGTTATTCAAGATACGGTTTCTCAATTGGAGTGACAAAGCTGGAATTCTAGTTTGGCCCTGAATTTCTAGCTGGACAATAATGCCCACACTGGAATGCACTAAGCTCATTTCCCACCCCCGTCCCCAAAACAGTGGATACATTGGCCACACCCCCTGCGAGGCCTGTGGTAATCAGCCAAGCTGATTCATACCAGTGGGTAGTCCTAGCCAGTCCATGGGAGGGCAAGAGGGGGTGGAGGTGACAGGGGCACAGCTGCAGGATCTGAGTAGGGTCTCAGATGCCTGGAATAATGCCCCTTCCTTTCAAAGCTCTGCATGTAAGACTAAAGCTCAATGTAAGAGTGGCTCCAGGTCTTCTCAGGCTTCCAGACCCAATTCCAGTGGCCATACCGCCTCAGCGCCTCTGGACTTGATTACTAACTACAACCCTGTCTATGTTCCCCATTTTTCAGACAGGAAACCAAGCCTGTGCTCAGAGACTGGTTGTGTCCAGTACTCACTCTGGCCTTCACTCCATTTGGCAGATGGGGTCCTGCTTGATTGTTTCTGATAGCTGCCTTTCTCCAGCTGCAGCATCAGCTCCTTAAGTTTCCCAAGGGTGCCTTCCCAACAGCACTAGGTCCCAATAACACAGTGACAGCTAATAGTTCCCTTGACTATTACCCATCACTAGCTTACACATACCCATGACTGAAGATTAACTCCTGAATTCTCCTTGTACTTTTTTTTTTCTCCTTGTACTCTTGATTTCTACTGGGTCCACCTGTGGACTGACAATTTTTTGAAAATTTAAGGAGTGAGCTCCAAAAAGCTGAGTTAAGAGATGGTAACTGAAATGGGTTTTCTTCTGGGATTACAACCAAACCTGATGGGATACTGATAAAGCTGACAGATCTAGAGTGAGGAGGTACTGACAGGGGCCTTTAACTTCTAGTTCTCTCCCAGCCTTTTGTCCCAAATCTTTAATTTCCAAATTTTATTTGATTCATTTTGAACAAGAAGCAATGTTTCCTCAGTGCTCCTACCACATCTAGTGGTTTCTAGGTTGGGTCATCATCACCACATAAATCTACCTGTGAAATCAGCAGCAGTTTCTTCAGTCACCCAGGTGAGAAACCGGGAATCAGCCTAACATCCCACTGGGGTTAAAAACCATAGTTACAGATTTTCTACAGCTTCCTGACGTAAAACTTTTGGCTGCTCACCCTCCACCTCAACTTTCAGACTTGGAACCATCTAATTTTTCCTAAAAGTTCAAAGCTGTGCCTGTTTTTTTTTTTTTGTTGTTGTTCTTTTTTATTTTTTATTTTTATACAAGAGCTGGGGTACAGGCCAGAGGCACGGGAGGGTGATAGGATTCCCCAGAGACAGAGAGGGGAGCAGAACAGGCAGATGACCAAAATACACTGCTGAGGGGAGCAGTGGGGTGACAGGAGAGGTCCGCCATGCCATGTGGAAATCTCCCTGGCCGGCCGGGAATCGAACCCACGCTGCAGAGGCTGTGGACAGCTGTCACAATGCTGCACTCAACCTGCTGCGCCACCAGGGAGGCCCTGTGCCTGTTTTATAGGGGACTGAGATATGGGCCTTAGGCCCTCCTAACATGTTGCCAGGCTCCCAAACTGACTCACCTCACGCCACTGAGGGTCAGCAACAGCTAGGTTATAAAACTTTGTTCAACTTCTGCAGAGCAAACCTGGGCACAGACTAGGTGTCCCATAAATAATGGAATAAATGAATTAAGCAGCATCTTCAAGTGTGTGAGGCATATCTCCTGATGTTGGTTTTCAAGACTCAAGAAAAAAAAATCTTTGTTGTGTAGACTGTATCCACTGATTTCAGTTCAATTCAATTTCAAACAAGTCCTACACATTGGACTATCAGATCCCCGAATCAACCACCGACCAAGGTGTTCACTGAATTCCTCCCACATACCCAGAGTGAGCCATCTGTCCCCCTAGCAGCAGAGATGGCTCTTCTGAGAGCTGCATATAGCCCTTGAATGTATTTTCAGAGTGTAAAAAACTTAAAATATTCACATTCAATATCCCATGTGCAAATGAACAAATATGACTCATACACATTTCTATTTTGAATAGAAACAGAATTTAAAAATTGAAATTGAAAGTGAGGTTGATCCCAACCGAAAGATGCTCCCAACATGTCTGGCTTCACACTAATGAGTAGCTCAAGGGAGGCTGCACTCATGGGAGCAGCATGCATGCAGGAGATTAGTGCTCTTCCTAGGAGACGAGTGCACCCCCAAGTCTTTCCCAGCCCCAGCAGCGGTCTTGCTAGCAATATTCCAAAAACCAAGGAAAAGTAACATTCCATCCACAGCCCAACTGGAAACCCCCCCCTCCCCACCAAGGAATGCTGTTCTTGGCAACCGATCTTCCAAAGGAAACAACATCTGCAAAACCTCCTCCACCCGTGAGATCAGGGAAAAGTTGAGGCAGCTGAAAACTTTTGTCCTCTTAGACCAACAGGGACTTAGAGCAGCAAGATGGGAGCAAACCCAGTAACCCAGTTCAAATGCTTCAGTGTCTTGACATCATTCTAAGTTCCATGGCAATCTCTGATACATTCTGCAAGACTGAACAGACTGTCCCATTCATTTGGTTGCTCAACTAAACCAAAGGAATTGAGAGGTCCACGTAACACCCACACAGATGGGAATTAGCCCCATCCAATCACTAAATATTTATTAAATACCTTCTCTAGGTCCTGGATCAACAGCTATGAAGTAGACAAAATTCCTATTCTCATCATAATTCCTTGTACCTGGTGTCCTGGAAATTCTACTTGGCAGAGCTCTCTATACAGAGAAAAAGCAAACTGATGGCTAGATATAAAGGAAAGCTCAATGATGACAATTTCTAAATTCTACAGAGATCAAGTTTACCTTTCAAATATAACCCCTCTCCTGCCATTCAGGAAGAGGTTAGGAATAAGGAGCCGCTACTCGGTCTGGTTTCTTAGACAACTGCACACTAACGTCATAAAATCTGACAGACTCAATGGGATTTAGATGGGGCCAAAGGAAAAACTAGGTCACTGAATTATGCTATGCAAATATAAAAAGTACTGTCTATATGAATCATGAGCTAAGCGACAAAGGTATTATTCAGAGATTAAACTCCTGGCAAAACCTGGTTCTCTATTGAACATTCTAACACATGATTAAAGAATATGCAGACCCAGGGTCTCTATCAGGGACCCTCTCTGCACTAGAGGGTGAACTATTTGGGATCAACACAAATCTAATCACCCCCATGCCTGATTTTGTCAGTGCCAGTCACAGAGAATCTGCTCAATGAAAGTGGCTGAGCGCATACACAGAAAGAACATTTTATTTGTGAGGTACTGAGAATAGCAGTAAGCTCAGGTCTCTTCAGGTTCACTGAAGCTGCTGGATGATTTGGCTCCTCACACAGTTGGGAAGGAGCAAAGTTTATTTCCTTGGTGTGTGTGTGTGTATTGGGGGGGGGGTGTACAAATCTGAGACTGAGTCACTTACAACAGACAGGCTACCAAGTGCTATCTCCTCATATCCCACAGGCCCTCCAGTACATGTCTTAGACATCTGCCATAGACAGAGGTGCTGACTCATGTGCCTTTGAATAGGAAACACATATACTGAGACTTTGTTCCCAACGGCAGGTTAGTATCTGGTTTCTTTTGTACTTACTGAGCCTTCCTAGTAGTCTTATGGCAAAAGATCATTTCAGGAGCTGTAGAAGTAAAGGGAGCATCTGTTAAGAAACTACCCAGATGGGAACCATGCCAAATCCTTCAATCTAAGACCTCAAAGACGGAAGCTAAAAAAGGGGATGAAAAATCAGCCAGCCCTTTTCAATACCCAAAGGGAAGTATTGGGTGACTACATTGTGGTCAAGCCCAAATTTCATTTGCATAACAGAAAGGACTAGAAAAGCCAAAGAAAGCATCACAGGGCTGGAAGTGGGAGACCAGAGGGTGCCAAAAGCCTGAGCAAGAGCTAGAAAAATAAGGAGGGTACTCAATTCTTCCTGCTCCAACATGGGCTTAAGCTCCCCACCCCCGCCTAAATTTTCATCCGCAGAAAAAGACACATGGATGCCAGCCACCTCAAAAATTAGGTTTGTATTTCTGGTTAGGTTCCAGAGTGGCAAAACTCAGAAATCATACTTACCATACAACCTGGTTCCCACCTCAGTTTACTTCCCACCCTCCCACAAAGATAGCATTGTACAAAACTATATTTACAGGAAAACCAGTTAAAAATTAAGGGTGTGTACAAAAGTAGACTAGAGTCAGAAACATCAATGTAGGGAAAGCCCTGGGGAGTAGGGATGTTGTATTCCACAATGGAACCTAGGCAATGCATTATGTACCAGGCAGGGAGAGCACAGTGAATCTCAGTGCCAATTTTAGGGGAAACCAGTCATTCCAGGGGAAATCAATGGGAAAGAGCTATTAATCTTGATATTGCAGTCTTAATTATCCAGCCACCCTTCTACCATATGGGTTCAGAGACAGGTGGTGGTTATGGTGGTGGAGGAAACAAAATACAGAGTCTTTGACAAGACCCACAGGAAAAGGAAGGGCTCAGAAGGCATAGCGGGTCCGGATATCCTCAAGCTTCTTGGACACCTCTGGTGGGGTGCGGTCCAATTCTTCAGAGACATTTTTTTGCTTGTTGGGCTCCATAGAGTTGAACTGCTCACAGAGGTCTCCATCAATCACATTCTAAGACAAGGAAAAATGAGAGCATAAGAAAAATCTTAGCTATCCATAGAAAATGGCATATGCTAAAGCATTAGCTGCAAGGAAAAGTTTTACCTTCCCCCCAGATACCAAAACACCATTGACAGAACCATGTACATTATCTAAATTAATCCTTAGTAGCAGAGTTCCGATTACAAAGGCAAGTGAAACCACCTTTCTAGCTGGGATCTGTCCCAAAGGGAGAGGACTCTGCATATCACCAGCCCTCTCCCCCCATTCTTGCTTCTATCAATCCACTCCATTGCTGCTTCTTCATTTAAAACTATTATGATATTTAAGGGAGGGAGGCCCAGAGGAAAAAAAAAATCAACTAAAAGGGCTAAGAACCCCCTTTAGAAACTGAGATTTCCAACAAATACCTTAACAGGGAAGTAATAGGATCGAAAGCTGAGGTGGTCACGGCCACACAGAGGGGGATGCTCAGATCTCAGGTGCATTTCCACATGCTGGAAAAAGTCATGGTCCTGGTGGAAGAAACAAAAAAATTGGTCACAGAAAGAAAAAATGATTTCAACTACCAGTCTATGGTATTTTAAAGCACAATGAAAACACAAACCACTGATTTTTATCATGCAAAAAGGTGGCAAAGAGTTAATTGCTCCTCTGCCTATCACAGGTTTTCCTGCTATTATGACAAAGTTATCCCCTCACCGTACTTAGAGAACACCATACATGAACAGTAAGAACCCCAGTCCACAATGCCCATTCACTTCTAGTTCTGTGGGATTTGGTTCTGGAACAATGATCTCTAGCTAACTCTGTACTCCCAACAGAACTGAACCAAACTGAACAGCATAAAAATATATGACTTTCGGGCCTCCCTAGTGGAGAAAGGGGTTAAGACGCAACCTATAAAGCTATCCGCAGGCTCTGCAGCATGAGTTTGATCCCCCGGCCGGCCAGGGAGCAACCCACATGATACAGCAGACCTTTCCTCCTCACCCGCTGCTCCCCTCAGCAGTGTATTTTGGTCAATCTGCCTGTTCTGCTCCCCGCTCTGTCTCTGGTGAACCCTCTCATCCCCCACACTTCTGTCCTGTACCCCACCTCTTGTATGCATAAATCTTTAAAATAAATAAATGACTTTCCCCAAGGGGGTAGAATATCAGGATTCCTACCTCCCCAGGCATTTTGTCAAATTACAAAATTTCCAGATAATTCGCAGCTACAGGTGGGATAAAAAGGTCTTCCTTCTTAGGCAGACTCAGCACCAAGAAATAGTCCTGACAAGGAACAGATAAAACATTATGGGAGATTTCACCTCATGGGATGTGAATGGGACAAGGATGCCAATTCCTCCAGACAAGGTGGTATAGACAAGTGATTCTGAGCCTCCAGGGATAAGAGTGGTCTTCTGTAAGGATAAAACAGTCTCCCCCACGTGATAGTTCATGATCACCTCTGCCTGCAAATCAAAAAGACTGGTTATTATGGGTGTCCCTGTCAGCCTGTTCTAGATTCCGAAGAGCAGGTAATGACACACTCCCATCCCCACCTCAGGGAAATTTCACCATCTTTTAAAATCCATAAATTACAAAAATTTAAAAATATATTATAGTGCTCTCAACATTTAAAGATGGTCTCATTGGGCCTCTCTGGTGGTGCAGGGGGTTAAGTGCCACACCGTGAACCTATCCACAGCCTCTGCGGCATGAGTTCAATCCCCGGCCGGCCAGAGAAAAACCCACATGGCACGACAGACCCCTCCTGTCTTGCCCACTGCTCCCCTCAGCAGTGTATTTCAGTCGCTCTGCCTGTTCTGTTCCCCACTCTGTCTGGTGAATCCTCTCACCCCCCGCAACTCTGGCCTATACCCCAGCTCTTATATGCATAAATGAATACATCTTTAAAAAAAAAAATTCTCATAAATATGGTAAAATTAGATCAGACTTGATAACAATGGAAAAATTTTTGCAATTTTATCAAATTTATAATAAAAAAAAAAGGAAACCACAAACAATTATGAAAAACAGCAATTGAAAAACAGCAACTGGGGACCCTCCCGGTGGCGCAGCGGTTGAGTGCTGGGTCGCGAAGCTGATCACAGCCTCTGCAGTGCCGGTTCGATCCCCGGCCGCCGGCGAGGGTCCCACATGGCACACAGATCTCTCCTGCTGCCCGCTGCTCCCCTCAGCAGTGTATTTCAATCCTACAGCATCATTAAATGAAACAGTGACTGGACACCTTGTATCAAACCCAGAGTTCATCACAGGTTGTATATCGTTATCTTAGAGTTTTCCAAAAAGGAGGACCATGCAGGAGAGCACTCAGTACAGTCATGTGCACTGTGGATTACTCAATAAAGTGTTCCTCATGAGGGTTACTGGGAACACAGTGCATGCTGGTGTCTCTTCCTTGAATCACCTTTTTCAATCTTACCTTCTGAGAGGCCCCATTGAGCAAGCCCCGGTCCCAGAGGGCTTTGTTTCCTGTGGGATCTTCATCCACTTCATCATTGGTGTTAGGCGGTAGCCTCACCTACAAGGAAATGACACAGATAAACAATAGAAGTCAGATGTGGTTTTAAAAAGAATAACCAAACCAAACCAAAATTCTGACAAAAAGTGAAAATTATTGCTAGCCATTAGTTCAAACTATACCTATTGCTATTAAATCATGTTCTTGGGGTGGAGAGAATCTAAAATAGTTAGAAGGTTTTTTTCTCTATATTCGAGCTCATCCTGGAACCTTGGCTGTCCCACAAACTAAGCCAGGTTTCCTATATGTAACAAGAATATAAGTATCAACTCACCACACAAATGTTGCCAAATTTGTCTGCCCCTGCCACAGTGTCATAGTCGAGAAGGCTGGCTGTAGTGACCCATCGAGGGTAGGTGTCATCAGCAAAAATGATGAGTTGGTTCTCATTACGCTTGTAGCGAACCCAGATGAAACTTTCTTGGACATCAGACACAATTACCCTGTGCCCAATTGTCTGAATCCCAGAGATGTAATTGGCAATATGCTAGGAAAAACAAGCATAACAATGACCATAAACTTGGGGTTCAGCACCAACAGAAAGTCCAGCTGACCCCAACTATAAGATATAGGGTCTGCAGAATAGCACACATCAAAGAACAATAGTCAGCAATAAATTCCTAGAAGATGGAAAAAAGTAAAAATGGTGCAAACACATGTCTAATTCTCACAAGAAGTAAGCAGGACAGAAATTTGGCTCTTAGTTTAAAGAACCAAAGAAACCCAACAACTCCCACCCCTCTTAATCTTCTTTTTTCTTTTTTTAAAGATTTACTTGTTTATTTATATAGGCACTGGGTACAGTCAGAAGCGCGGGGAGGGTAAGAGAATTCACCAGAGCCAGAGTGGGGAGCAAAGCAGGCAGAAGGACCAAAGTACACTGCTGAGGGGAGTAGCGGGCGGCAGGAGAGGTCTGCGCGCCATGTGGGACCCTCCTCCAGTGGCCGGGGAGCAGCCGGGGATTGAACCAGCGCTACAGAGGCTGCGGGCAGCATCGCAACCCAGCGCTCAACCGCTGCACCACCAGGGAGGCCCACCAGCCCTCTTAATCTTAAGGGCCTAATTCTGAGCCTGGAATTAGGAGACTACAAGGTCCAAAAATAAAGACACATGATTTACTGTCCACCACCCCATCTATGTCTCCTTCCTCACTCGTTAGATACAGGACCCTCTATCAGTACATTTACCTTATTCTCACATTTTCGGAGTAATTTCTTCTTCCCCAGGTCATAGACTCGCAGGAGCTTCCCTACACCAATCAATACTCTCCCCTGGAATGGGGCGATGGCAGCAGGGACCTCTTCCACTGGAGTCTGTGAGAAAAAAGTAAGTAATGCAAAACACACAACATGCTAGCCACAGCCCTTCGGCCCAGAACTGCCTCCTATAGGTATGTTAGAAGACAGTGAGTGATCATGTTTTGCTCATCAGAGAAATAAACCAATACACAATTGTCTATGAAATGGGGTGTTTGGGTAAATAGATCCCACAAGCTTCATTTCACCCAGTAAGGGGACTACTGCCACAGTGAGCAGAAGTCTTGGTGCCTGATGCCTGAGGGCTCATCGTGTCAACAGTGAATCCTCAATATGAAAATGACTGGTTTGTCAAAGATGAGAAAGGAATGATAATAACAAGTAACAAGTAACACGTTAGTTGTAGGGAAGATACGCAAACTAGTCTGTGCGAAATAATTATTTCCTAGAGGACACATGCTTTGTAGGAGGGCTGGAGAAGCTGCATTTGTGTGCTGTCAGCGTACAGGAGACACCAGGAATTAATTTTTAACACCAAGATACACACACACACAC